GCGATGCGGCGATGGTGGCGGCTCACTTGATGGAGCAAGAAGAATACACACACACATACACACACTTAAGCTGATTCTTTGGAAGATGCGCGCTGGTTATGGTCGTTATTGTTGTTGTACTTGTCTTCGCTTCTGCATTAAATCTATCTTCATACACTTCTGTTGTTGTGCGTTTGCATCATGCGCGCACCTGTCGCTTTAGCAAAAGACGAAGACGACGACGACGACGACGACGACGGCTAGCAGCCATCCAACGAAAGGTGCACGCTGAAAAATTCCCTCAACTTGGCTAAAACAACAAATAATATTTTCTGTGCGCGCATTTTAATTTGCGGCCAACCCTGGCATCCAACCGCCGAGAGCAGAGATCCCCGCAGCAAGCTCAGCCACACACAATCCTAAGCCGGTATAACGCTCTCCTCTACGCCAGTCTCTACCTGTTACAATTGCTGTAGTTGTTGCCTGTGCATCAACATCATCAGCTGAAATTATGGCCCAAAGGATATGTGAGTGCAGTGACGCAGTAAGTGAGGCAACACACAAACACATGCAACCGCCTTTGAGGCAACTGCAATCGAGACGGACCATAAACTGCAGATGAGTTGATTTTGTGATTTTATTTCGTAGACACGCGTCTAATTTAGAAATTTTTATACAATTTTTATGCATTTTGATTTTCGTCTGATTTCTTTTATTTTTTCATTGCCTTTTTTCGTTTATAGGAAATTATAAGTTGCAGATGCCGGTGGCCACAAGAAGTCAGCTGGATTTTTCGAACTTAAGTTGTTTAGAGATTTAGGAAGATATTGCGTTTACGGTCGAGTGGAGAGAGCGAGAGAGAAAGAGCGAAAAGGACAATCGTAACTGGTTCGGGCCACTCAAGCAGACAGACAATTATGTACGGATTTTTCACCTGCTGCATATACTTCGTCATCATCTTCTTCCTCTTCTTCTTCTTGTTTTTTATGTTGCTTCTATGCATTCTTACATTTATGTGCTTAGTATAGTAATGTTATTAAGGACTCTTTGTAAACTCCTTTTCGTGAGGTTAACGAATTTATTGATGACAAACATTTTACAGATGGATGGATGGATGGATGCAGGACTATTTCGGAATGCCTGCAGAGAGAAAAAGTGTGTTCGTTTTGTCAAACAGAAAAACAGTTTTCTCTTAAGTTTGGCTAACAATTAGACCGGATCGGTGAGGTTGTCTTCTAGCGACTAAAAAGATATCTCCACAAGTCACTCGTGAATGAACGTTAGGAGCTTTCGAGAGAATGGTTAGGTGGAGATTGAAAATGCAGTAGCTGGCAATGGAAGCAGAAAAATACCTTCACTCTGTTGTAAATATCAGAAGAATCAGAAAAAGAGGGAATTATCTCCACTTGGCGCCGAGGGGTAAAAAGCAGAAACGACTGTCTCTTGTTGACGCGTGTTCGCCTTCTCTTCCATCAGGGCGTGAGTACAAATCATTTATTTGACACGTAGGAGAGATTCGAAGAGTCGGTGGTATTCTATATCTGAGCCTCTTTCTCATCAAAAATCCAACACCAAACTTGCCAAAGGCCAAAAAAAAAGTCGCAAGGACTTCTTCCGTTTATGTCCCTTTGTCGTAAGCGTCTTTTCGTTTTTGTAAATAAACTGTTAGTAGATGCAGGTATCTGTAGCCTTCCAATAAATCGAGCTTTTACAATTTTTTGTTTCTAAAAAAATAATATAGGTAGATTACGTAACATTTTCAAACATATGGCATCCCCTTAAAATAATAATTTTAACCTAACTAATTTCGATTTAAAGTCAATATTTGTATTTTTGATTTTTATTTTTGCTTCATCCTTTTTTTCGTTTTTGCTTTTGCCAAGTATCCTTACGAACTTGAATACTTAAAATAATTACAAACAAATTGTGTACAAATTGCCACTGTTAACAGTTCCAATCACCGATCGATGCCCGATCGCACGAGTATCCAAACCTGATTTCAGCGAAATATGCGCGAGTTAATAATTTTCACTATTTTGCGACAATTTTGGCGGCACCACAGAAGCTGTTAAGAAATGCCGCCAGCCGGCAGTCCTTTGATCTGAGTCTCGAGAATTTCAAAAATGGCACTTTGTAAAAGACCGACAACATTACAACGGTATTTAAAAATAAAAACAAAAATGGACTGAAAATTGCCAAAAAAAAAACCGAAAAAAGCGACCTTAAAACACTAATAATACCGTAAAGTCCAACCACAGTTATTCAGCAGTAAATTTCCAATTACAAATCACATAAGACACTCTTCAAAAAACCCAAAAAAAAAAGAGCAGTCGATGCGCCGAACTCCATTGATTGCCGATCAAGCTCAAGTAGTCGGTGCGAAACGTCATTACAATATAAATACGATCATAATCATCGATTAGCCACAAAGCAACAGACAACCTTTGGCTCCTCTTGTCGCGAATCAGTTGTCAAAAAAAAAGGAGGAAAGAAGAAAGGCACGCTGTAATCACTTTCCGAGTACGCGCGTAAATGTGCCAAATAATTTTTGGTAAATCTCGTTGGCTTCCTTGAAAAAATCACTCAACTGCAACAAGCGTACTTCGCCATCCGCACCTCCCCTCTTTGATCGCCCAGCCCAGCACCGCATGCTGTGAAAATTCTCGAAATTGTCGCTTCGATCACAATCGATCATAAAAACATTACGCTTCGTCGCAATCGATTCGGTCTAAAGTGTTGCGCTTTGTGTGTGCAACAATTTGTTGCAAGGTGAGGGAAGCGACAATAAAATGCTTGGAAAAGAAACTGCCAAATCAATTGGAGTTCCTTACAGACACACACACATTTGTTCACATCTGCACAGCTCTCTGACTGGAACCACATTTTTACATGTCTGTCAAGGACTTTTTCCCTCTTGCTGTGTATTTCCGCAGCTGACTGCCGACTAGTACGCCCTCCCTGCGTGCTACGCAGCGAAAAGCCGACAAAGCGCTGGGCGGCATGTTGAATGGCATTGCTGGCATTATCGCCGTCGACGAAGACGTGATAAAATGTTTAATTGCAATAGTGGCTGCAGATCGGTTTAATGAATTTGTAAATGAAGTTCGTTCTGATTTTTCAAATTAATCAAACTAATACCGTTGCTTAGCCCTTAGAAGTTAGTTTGAGTTGTTTTGCATTTGATATAATATAATAATATTTTCACTGTCTCAAAGTTCTTTGCCGTGGCGTATAACGCATAGAAAATGTCTGCTTTAGTGGCCGACCTAAATTGGAACGTTCGGCTCTGCGTTTTCTGATGCAAATGATTAGCAACGCGCGCTATCCTTAAATAAGCCGAGTGCCACCAACATCCAAGAGTTATAGAAAATTAATTTAAATTCAAAATTTAATTAAATTATCTAATTGCGGTCGTCCCTCGGCAGGGAATGTCCACCCCTACGAATGTATTTCGGACATGAAATTAAGGCTCCTCGTGAAAAACCATCAGTCGTTCGGAGGCGGCTGGAAAAACATCAAGACGCAAAACCGCAAATTGAAGGAGAGCACAGCCGAAAAATCGCTTCAGAGGTTACAAAGCGCCAAATATATACACACGTATATAACGTTTTGACCTTTCTCTTTCACTTCAAGTTCGTACCATTTTAAGAACATTTAATAACTTCATTGATTTAATAAATTGATTTATTTAAAAAAAGATACTACGAACTTACTCGGTCGGCAAAAGTGTGCCTCCACCAGTTGAATTAATTTATCTGTCAAATGTTTATCCCTTTTACCTATTCGTTTTCTCCTTTCTCTCATACTTTTATCCTTCACACCCATCTTCATCATAAAACGCGTTGTCAAAATTTAAAATTCCATTTGCTCAACGTTGACGCATCGTTATTGTGGGTTGTCCCATGCACATTGGATAGCCATGAGGATCCTTGACAGTTGTTTAGCGCCCAACGCTTCAAGTTAGGTGTAGCAGTTTGAGATTGCTTAGTGAGTTGTTAAGACATTTCTTCCTTCCAAACGGTTGTTGCTAGAAGTCCTAGCCTCTGTCTCTTGTCGAATAATTTCTTCATTTTTTTCTTTTTCTTGTTTAGTGCACTGAGAGTTAATACTCGAGTATGTCTCTCTTCTGCTCTATGCTAGGTTAGGTAGTAACGCCTTACAGAGATTTGCTGGTACTTTGTAGTGGCTGATGGAGGTTCAGTTTAATTCGAACTAAAGCAATAGTCGAGTAGGACGTAAAGTTTTAAGAGAGTCTTGATATCGAAGATGATGGTACGTCACCTAGTCATTTGCGTTGCGATGCTCCTAGACCTGATTTCTCAATTCAATTTCTCGCTCCTTACAATTGGCATTGTTGCAGGTCAACACAAGCATCGGTAAAAAATTCAGGCTGATAGAAAGGAAGATCACCTCAAAAAGTGGCTGAGAGACGTCTGTTGGGTTTTTAGAAAAAAAAATTAAATATTTTTCGTCTTCCATATTTATATTTTATTTATTTATTTTTTTCAAATATTCTTTTCTTTTACAAAATAAATAAGTTTTGAATAAGGCAAGTATAAGTCTTAAATTCGAAAATTAAATTAACTAAAAAATTACAAAAAATATTATTACGCAAAGGAAAATATTATATGTGAGTAAAAAATAAATAAAAGTATATTTCACTTCGGCATTACACTATTTTGTTTTAAATTTCTACAATCAAGAACTTAAACTAGTTTTTAAAAATAATGTTGAAAATTAAAATTAAAAATTTTACAGTTTTTGGAAAAATCTATTTACTCCAATTCAAAAAGATAAATATATTCTTTGGTTTATTTAGCTGTGTTGTGATTTACAAAATTTTGTTTTAGCGTTATTTTTATAAATTCAGATTTATTTATTATCATTTTTTAATATTTTATAAGGCCAAATGTTGTCGAAAATGTTCAAAAGTTCTAAAAAAAAGTATATTTACAATCATAAATATTTGCATGCGTGTGCATTTTCAATTGTTTGGGCAAACATTTATTTTAACTAAAAATAAGGGAAATAAATTAGAACATGATTTTTAATTATTTTAATACTACACCTCCTAACTTTTATAACAAACTACGCAGTTAAACTAATTTTCTTATATTCAACACTTAAACTTCTGTCTTTAGATGATCAAAGGCTCTACCAACACACTGACACACATTCACTGGCTTGGAAAATTTGTAGAATTTATTTTTATTTACTTATGCTCTTTAGCTTAAACAGTTATCGACTTAACAAATAAATTTGTGTGTACAAAACTTTGGCTTTAACGACTTAGCATTTCAACAGACCAATCTGGACCGAACAATACCATGTACTTGACATATGAACTAAAACTAATTGACGTCAGCTCTTAGTTTCCGATTTTAATAAATAATTCATACACAAATAAACTCAAACACTCATTGAAGTTTCACTGCCATCCACCGCCTACAACTAACCAATCCACACCGGGTACCTCTGCGGTGTAAATAACAAATAATCACTAGTCTCGTTATAGCTTGGCTGGGCCCCCATTGGCCCACAGGCGTGCCTTCAGCAACTGCTGCTGCTCACTTCCATTTTCACCGGCGCCAAGGTCTCTTCGTGCCGACTCTCGCGGTGACGACGCAGATCGACTTTACGCTGGAAAGACTGATCGCAGAGGCCACAACCGAAGGGCTTATAGCCGGTGTGCTTGCGCATGTGTGTGATGAGATTGGAGCTTTGGCTGAAAGCTTTCTGGCACACAGTGCATTTGTGTGGCTTTTCACCTGCAAGAAAGAGGTTGAAAAAGAGTAAGAGAAATTAGAAAAATTAATCAATAAATTGAAACAAAAATTGTTTTAATGGTGAAAATGGTGGGGACATAAGGTAAGCTTTTACCGAGTAGCGGCAATTAAAAATATTAATGACTTTGTGGTGCACTTTTTAAGGCTAAATACACAGAAACAATCACTCATACATGGTCTGTATGTAAGCTTCTTGGCTGGACGAAGGGTGGCCCATTGCAACAAATGATTTTACACTTGCGCAACCAAATCTTGCAATTAGTAAAATTAAATCAGATAACGGTTAGTGTGCATTAATATGCAAGTACAATATATATTTACATACGTGTATGTCCATATGCTATGTGTTTAACGCACACACACACACACGCATGACCGCGTGATTTAATTGTTAGCAAAGTGTCGACATTGCACACTCGAGTGGCACGTGACACGCTTTAGCACATCAATATGTATGTGGGGGTGGCAAGGACTGATTGACTTTTGCGAGTGCAAAAGTGTGGTTTTACAGGGTATTATAATAGCAAAAAAAAAAAAAAAAAAAACATAATAATAAATAAAAAATAATAATAAAAAACCAAAATAATATAATTTGTAATAAAATTCTTAAAATAAAACATAAAAATAATAAAAAAAAAAAACAAAAAAATGAAATAAAAAACAATAGTAAAATGCATTAAAAGCGAAGTAGAAAGAAATATAATTTGGCCTGGACTTGAATGCAATCGTTCTTGAGGCAACCTGTTCTGGCGAATATCCCCTCAATAAATACGATTGTTTCGCAACTAATAGCTGATTTAGTTTTGAGATAGGTATGACCATATGTTCTAAATACGTTAAGAGTTTGAACAGTTTTTGAAGAGTTTTCACAATTCAAATTGGGTAAAGAAACTATTGAAAGTATTAAATAAATTGGATTTGTATTAGTCTTTTGCGTATAGAAAATATTTAATAATTGTATTTACCTGTATGTATGTAAGTGTGCTTCTTCATATCTGATTTTTGATGAAAGCGCTTGCCACAGTATTGGCAAGGATATGGCCGCGTATCGCTGTGTATGAGTAAATGTGTGGACAATGTGGATGAACGTTTGAAGGATTTGCCACATTGCTTGCACTATAAATAAAGAGAGAGAGAGAGAAATGAATATAATAAAGTTATTTTAAACAAAATAAGTATATTAAATATACATATATGTACGTGAATATGTGTAGTTACAGTTTTAACGAACTAAATGCAGATACTTTCACTCAATTTGAACTTAGCTAACAGTCTTAGTTAGCTTATACTTGTATTTAAACAGCTTGCGAAATATTCAGAATATGCTAAAAATACGAATTTGGTCTGAGCAAACATACAGTTATGTTAATAACAAGTAAATCTCTTAAGGAAGTAGGCAAATGACGCAAATGCCAATATTTTTTTAGAACTGTATACCTGCTAGAGAGAGAGAGAGATGTAGGTTAAATAAGTTGAGGGAATAATTTAAAAAACGTACGGATAAAGGTATCTGCAGTTTAAACTTGGTAAAATATTGCTTCGAAGCATGCATAGAGATTTAGACGGGATTTTGTTTTGGCTTAGGGGAAAATTCCTCACACTTTGAAGATAAATAATTGCTCCAATTTCGCTAGTCTTGTGGTAAACTGAAGCCACAAAGCGCGGCTTAGTTCATGCCATTCCAATGTTTTTACATAATAGAATATTCTTATGAAATATCTCAAAAATCATGTGGTTGCTTTTTCATAAATATATTATATTCCACGCGAGTTCGAATGGGTTCGTTTGAAACAGCTAAACAAATATGTGGCTTTGTAAAAAAAAAGAAACAAATGCTGTAGCAATAACAAATCACATTAGGATCAGTTCCAGATAAATATGTAATTACGTATTTATAAATATTGACGTAGGTGTCTCCCAATGCGAGGAGTATATCTGCTAAAGTGAGATGCTTGAAGCTCTATCTTTTTCTATTGACTTCCACCTTCAATCTCACAGCTCACAAGCCGAGCTTACTTTTGTCATAATTTTTTTTTAACGATTTATTATTTCTCAATTGGAATTTCAAAATGAACTTTTTCTAGGTTTCAAACGCAATCCGATGCAGCTGTGTCAATTGTAGACAATTCAAAGAAACGCTGAGCTCAACACTCTATTTCAACTATTGTCTCACTTGTTTTTGTTTGTATAGTCGAATAGAGACTTGCGCAATTATAACAGGCTTGATTTAAAAGCAAGAGGTAAACTTTGTAAAATTAATGTACGTTTTGTAGTGCTGGCTCGATTCATGATGGATCCTCATTTATCATGTGTACGTGGTTATACGGAAATTTTTTCTTTACCCACTCTCAACACCAAGCGTTGCATAATTACAGGCTCAGCTTGGCGAATTTCCTTGACATGTAAAACAACAACTAAACTTCCGAGATATGCAGTGGTTTAAGTTCTGAGTATCGTTCCAGTGTGGACAAACTTTATTATGGTGAACGATCACTGAATACACTTTTTTAATGGAATATTTATGAAATGTAGCTTCGAAGACAAATTAAAAATCAGATAATATAATTGTTTCTACTTCTTTCCCAGACACATCTTAGTGCAGGGTCCAGTGTAGGTTACCAGCACCCCCATTTAATAAAAGGTTGCCTTTTTTCCAGAGCAAAGATGATTGATCAGAGCGATCAGCGCACTTAGGCCGTAAGGCCCATTGCGATACCTGCGATGTACTTCTCACCTTCTCAAATGTACGAACCAATTCGTCTGCCATATGAACAATGCGATACTGCGTATACTGCCAGCTGTTGTTACGTCAGCCAGACAATCAAAGAAGTGATACCCTAGAAACTTATGTGAGAGACTGGAGGGTGACAGAGCTGGTCCGCGTGTCCAAAAGAATTTTTCAATTCAATTCAATTTTGTATTTTTTTACTCGTAACCATCCACTATTTTTCGATAAAACTCAATATTTACAATTGAACTAAATAAAATTCCGAAACTTTCCATTCCCTCGTTCACACAATTAACGCATGAAAGCGAGACAAAAGAAATCAGACACATTTTCTAATATTTAAACAGTTTGTCCTGCAAGAAGTCGTGCTGTAGACATGAAGAGGAGGAAGCGGCGCAGTGGTTGTCAGCAGCAGTATTTAATTTTAAGTACACACGCGTATGGGTAGAAGAGATTAATTACTATTTTTACACAAGTACAAACTATTCATATTTTTTCAAATTTGTTTGTTTGGCTTTAGTTTATTTCTCGTCTTTGGCTGCTTGGCTTGACACAAGTGTTCTCGATGAATGTTTAGCCGTCGCTGCAATACGTGTGTAGCTTTTTATTTGTTGATTATTTGCTTGCTGAGTGCTTAGAAGCGGGATTTTCGAAGACTAACCAACATGGATTACGCATGTTTGTATGTACAGTATGTACATATGTACAGTATGTATATAATGTACCTATACATATGGTGGCAATTCCAGACTGACTTTATTTGAGTAGTTATTTCAGGTACAAAAGCACTTAAAACCGAAAAAAAGCAACAAAAATGGCTTGATATACGTACATAAGTAGATATGTGGGAGTATGATGTTAATGATGAATTTGTATACTCTATATTTCAGTATGTAAACACATACATACATATGTATAGAAACGTATATAGAGTATATACCCATATATTTGTAGTTGTTTGGCTCTTCGCCTGGAATTTATTTACTATTTTTAAGCGATCGCTCTCTCGTACGCTCTGTGTGGTTGTGCTTGAGATCTCACTTATATTCACACACACACGTATAGGTGTGTATGTAAATATTATATATAACTGTTTAGCTAATTAGCCAGCATTGTTGCATTGACTTGCGACTGACAATAGAGATCCAAGCACTCCGAGGCTGGGCGTAGGAAGTGAAAACGGAAGTTGGATTCGCCAGCAGATGCTCGTATGAATTTCAATGAGTTGGGAAAAGACCAAAGAATATAGCGAAAGTCTCTTATGTTTTGTAGATATTTTTGATGTTTTTTTTTAGTTAAAAAAAAGGTGTGTAGAAATGAGTCAAGTGGCAAAGAACCGGCTGACTCAGCGCCCCGTATGCAGTGACTGCTAAGTGTATCCTTACAAAAGCGGTCAGCTGCTTGGCGTTCAATGCTTGAAGTCAAAGTTTTACTTAAGAAAAAAGTGTGCCAGCCATAAGGCACATTTTGCTCGCTTGAGCGTTCTCTGTAAGGCAGACATTTCATTAACTCGAAAGGCCACCCACTGACCAGCCGGCAAGAGTTGTAACAACAGATGTAACACCTTTTTTTTCTTTTGAAATGAAAAAAATACAAATGTAACATACACACTAATGGTCATATGTGTACATATGTATGTATATACATTTTTTCAACCCAATTAAAATCCTTGTAATCATTGCGCCATCCAGAAATGATCGATAATAAAAAAAAAATGCGCTTAACGTATGCCACACGACCATCTGCTGCGCCGGTGCAGCGTGCAAGAGAAAGCAGTTGCATAAAGAGTGAGCAAGCCATAGGGTGAAAGAGTGGCGCAAGTGAGTGTGAACATAAGAAAGAAATTATTTCACAAATAATCGTACAAAAAATCGCTTGTATTGGAATAAAAGGACAAAAACCCCCACAAGCATATCAGGTTGCAACAACAGCTTTATGAAGCGATAGTACAATAAAAAATAAACAAAAAATTTTTTTCGTATATAAGTATTGTTTCTGGCAGTTTGTATGTGTTGGTAAGCACAAAAATAAATGCAATTTGATACTCTATTGTGACTTTAAGCGATCATAAGTGCTAAACATTCTTGATCGGCCGTGTGCCTGATCAGTATTTGTTTTTGTTTTTGGAAATCATGTTTAATCAGGGATGAAAAAACTTATAACTGATTACATAAAAACAATATAAAGCCGAAAGGGTGTTTATATTATTCTTCAAGAGCAAGAAGTTTAGCTCAGTTGGAGTTAAGAATTGCTGTAAGTTCTGTGAGAGTGAAGATCGCCGGTTATTTGTAAATAACACTTTCGTGTTGTCGCATAGATGCCATTCTATCTGCGTTGGTCAAATGATAAACTCATTTTTGTTTAGAAGACAATGAAAAGGCAGATGAGCTGCCTCGCGCTCACGCCGCTGGCGACGATGTACAAACGAACTCGCCTCAGACCTTACAGCGCCTTCTAATGTTATATAAAGCAATGGCCCAACAAAATCGAACGCTCACGATGCTGACAAACTTCCACCGTGGAACGTACCACGGATTATTGTGGAACAGCAAACGAGTGCTAAGTATTATTGTGCTTGTATTGAGTAGGTATCTACCCCTGAGATGACGAGACGAAACGCTAGAGTCTTCAGTCGATTGGTTCGTCATATCATTCACTGCGCCCCAGATCCAATCCTTGAAAGCTCACTATCCTTGCGGATTCCGCTACTTTTTAGGATTCATACGCATACGTAGCTCTTGCAGTTCAATAGAAGCACACTTAGCTTTCAAACTGTCTTGTGACTTCTGCTTTAGGTGATTTATTTAGAATTTGCATATTTTTTATGGGGATGTTCAGTACTTGGGTTTGAAGATTTCAATATTTTTCCGACAACAAAACGTAAATAAACCATATTTTCCACAAAGAACACTTGACATTCACATAAATTGTGTCGTCTATATCATCAGATAGTGGCAATCAATTGTGTTTTCCATCAACTACAACATAACCTGATATTCAACAGAAACTTCGTAGAACGAGCGCACGAGAGTCCTTGCTCCTTTTCCTATTTTCCTCCCCCATCCCAGAAAGCGCTTTATTAAACACTCAACGCCACAAAAGTAGAACATTTACCAATCATAATTACGACAAATAAATAATTAAAACACACATTTACTACAACAAACAGTAATGAAGCGACATTGGGTAAACAAAAAAATTTCCAGCGGTGGAACCCCTGCTTGACGGTCAGCACTGCGGCCGGCTGAGGGGTAAGGGAGGAAGTAAGTGCGGTAAATGGTGCAAACACGCAATGCAGACAAATTAAGCAAATTGAAAATTAACATAAAACTCAAGCACTGCAAGCGAATATCGTAAAATATCATCGAACGGCATATCAAAATGATTGAATGACAAAAACGGTGTACGAAGAAAAAAAGAAATAATAAAATACAAATAGATGCAATCGCATATTTAGAGATGCAAGGTGTTAGAAATTACTCAAAGTAATTGAATAAGCGGTGCTCACGTGGAAAAGTGCGTTTTCGAAAATCGAACGGCATTTTTGAACAATTAAAACAATCAAGCAATACCAAAGTAAATATTTATATGGGTGTAAAAAGACATGCCAACATTTTGCTGTCATTGATATAAGAGATACACTTGATTGAAATGCCCAAAGAAAAAAATCCTGCCAAGGAAAAAAATGTTTTTATTTTCGTACACGAATCATAAACGAAATCACTTTCGTATACATTTAATTGTTTAATATCGTGACACGAAACGTGCTTATTTATGCATTTGTGCGGGGTGAGATATCTGAGGTGCATTATTGGCATATTGAAAAATAATTGAAGTGAATGCTCGTACTTGGAATATTACGAAATCGAGCCTTTTAGGCAAATTAAATGCGAGCTCAATCCACGAATGACAATAAATACGCAATATTTGTGGAAAATCGTTTTTTCGTATTTATCTATCAATCTATGTATTTATGTGTGTGTGTGTGTGTCTACTAAGTGTCGCTATGCGTGTTAATTGGTCCACATTTTTAGTGGTATTTTTTTGCCATTACTTTATTGTCATTTTGTGGTTGCTTCTATCGTTGTACCTGGTCATAATGAATAGCTTAATAAGCGCTGGTAAAATCCCATGGGTTCTATTGGTTATTTGCAGGCCCTTCGCTTGCTTGATTTACATACAAACATTTTATGCTGGCATATTCGTGCTTTGGAATAAGTGGGTTAGCTGCTGTTTTTTGTTTTTTCCTTTTGTTTTTGTTTTTTGGTTTCTTATTTTTGAATAGTGTCAATAAAATCACGCAGTTACGTAATCAGATGCGGTTAAAAAGGCTCACTTTTTCAGGTTATGTCGTGTTCTTTAACGTTTTGAAGAGGCGAAATGGTTTTTAATACTGAAAACAGCTGCTCAAGTGGGAATTTTACATCATTTCAATTAAAAATGATATATAAAGTGAAAATTTAAAAAAGAGAGATTTTTGCAGTTTTCTTTAGACCTCTAGTGCCTGAAGTATCGCGGGAAAGTCGATAAATATTTTTTTTTACCAAGTGAGTTCCTTCAAAACTTTGATTAATTTTCAAAGAATTTAAACAAACCGAAATCGAAAAATTAACTGAAGTATAAATATGGACATCTTGAATTAAATCTTCGTCTTTATTTCTATTTTTGAGTTTTCTTGGAGCAAAAAAATTTATATCGTCAAATGAAATTTTTGAAACATATTTAAAAAAAAAAGATTATCAAAACGGTGAAAAGAACTTTTGTTGCATGGATGGTAATTTTTATATCTTACAAGTATTTTTTTTTTATTTCAATACTCTGAAATTTTATATTGAAATGGGGTTTTGAGAACAGTATTTAGCCGTAATTTCTACTGTCTATAGAATGTGCTTGTAAACGCTAAATTATCTTTATGTCTTCCATGAAAGGTTTTACTTTCACTTCAAACAGCTGACCACGTCAGCGTTTCTAACATATTCATACACACTTATTTACTTTTCAACGCATCATCCTCCTTAGCATTTGCTCATTCTTTTTTTTAATTTCCCGTTCTCTAAAAACTTAAACACACACACAAACAGTTTTCTGTAGCACGCACGTTCGCCAAAGAAGAAGCAGAGCAAGGAAAGAAAAAATTACCTGAAAGTTGCGGGTCCCTCGCTTCTCGCACTCGCCCTCACTGCTGCAACTGTATGACCGATGCGGAACATCTGCTGTGCTAATGATCGCCGTCGAGTCCGGATGCTGGTGTTGTTGTTGTGCAACATAGTGTTGCAACTGTTGTTGATGGTGGTGGTGGTGCTGCTGCTGCTGCTGATTTTCGTGTCCTGAAAGCGAGTTATTTGGTGAGTAACGGATCGCATCCTCCGCCATATCCACATATTCTTCCGTTTTCATGAGCTCCAAAGCATCCTCATGGCTGTCGTAGCTGTCACCTCTCTCCAGACGACTTGCATTTCGGCTTAGTATAGTATTCTCATTGTTATTGTTGTTGTTGTTGTTTTGCACAAGAGCATCCGCTCGACTCTGCAGCTCCTTGAGTTGAGCTTGCAACATTTCAAAATTATTACCCGTCGCCAGGCCGGCCATGAAGGCGGTCCGATGTGCGAAAATTCGCTGTTGCGCTTCGATCTCTAAATTCGCCACCTTCAGTTCCTGTGCTCGTGCAGCGGCGGCCGCAGCTACAGCGGCAGCATTAAATTGGGTCGCCAAAGCGGTGGTGGAGGAGAGTGGTGATTGTAGCGATACATTTTCGGCGCATGTGGCGCCGAGGGAGCGACGCGGATAACTGCCACGGCGTTCATACTTGAATTTACGCACAATCGGATCGATGGCGTAGACACCAACGCCACCACTGCTTAGTTCCGCAGCGCCATCGTTCACTTCCGCCACTGCCGCCACAGTTTTTTCGCACATACTCGCCGGTGACCAAATGATCGAGCCGTGTGTGCGTCGGTTTTTCGTTGGCGAACGTGGCTCCAGCTTATTGGTGATGCTGCTTTGGTCGATGGCAGTTTTGAGATTCACAGCGCGCAGTGGCGGTGGTGTGCAAGTGATTTCCGTTGCGCTCCGTGGCGTATGTAAATTTAGCTCCAAATCGCTGTAGTCATCTTTTATGTCAGCGCTTAGGCGTGTTGGCGGTTTCTTCATGTTTGACTCTTGTTTCAACGATAAGTTGAGCGGCATATCCTCACCGCTGCTGTTATCATGTTGTTGTTGTTGCTGCTGTTGCAGTTGTTGTACATGCATATTTTCCTGATCCTTTTCGGGTGTCAGCGTGTAATCGCGGTTATTGGCAAACGAGGCGGGTGAGTGCGGTGTTGTTGGTGTGTTGGGTGTGCCGAGCGCTGACGTTGTGGAGGAGAGTAAAAACTGTGGCAACAACACGTTCGAGTAGAATAGCGGATTGTAGAGGAAGGGTAGATCTGTAACAATTGTTGCAATAAGGAATTTTTAATCGCCTACATAACCTCAAAGTGATAGAACTATGATATGTAATACATTTAAAATGCTATCTGAATCGGACTGAAACTGAAAATATTGTTAAATAAATTCTTAAGTGCATTTTATATGCTTAGAACTCCAACATTTATGTAGATTAATTAAAAACCAATTATATTCCAATTTTTATCTTAAAATTTACTCCAAAATAAAATATAATAATATAATAGAAACCTTTAAAAAACGCAGATAGTACTTTTGGAAACTTCATAATTTTAGCAAATTTGTTTTAATTTTCAGAAATAAATGATATACTCTCAACCACTAAATCGATAAATTTGAATTCCTTTCCTTCGGCTATTTTTTCCTTTATGCCCTTATTATTTCTACTTTAGTTGGAATATTTAATTTATTAAGCAAAATAATAAAATATGAAATAAAAAATTAAAATATTATATATGTATTTCATTGATTTTCGTTTTGTTGATTTCATTTCCAAAAGACCCGAAAATATAATATTTGGAAAGAATTTTCAAAATGTTTCTTCTGCTTCTAAGAGGAGCTTAAAATTTTATTTTTTATATTTGTTTTCTATTTTTTAATTTTTTATTATTTTTTGAAATAAAAACATAATGATTAAATTAACATTTTTCTGCTGGTTTGTTGTAAAAAAATGGAATTTTTTTGTAATAATCAAATAATAAAATTTACAAAAAGGAACCTCCATCAACTTACTGTTAAGTTTCGATGCTATAACCGAATTAAATGCCGATGCATTTTGTATCCAATTCTTCGTAGAGTCGAAATTCACATCCCCCAGCGCCGAATTGGCGAAGGCAGCCAACGCGGGTGACGGTGTTGGTTTTTGGGAATGCGGAGTTAACGGTGGCGAAAGGTGATTCATTTTGTTTTGTTTAATTTTTCAATCTCTTTTGCTTGTGTTTTTGATTTCAGTTAATTTTTTTTTATACCAAAAATTTACTTATAAATTTCTTCAAAATTTTCGATCTATTTTCAATATATTCGTATACTTTTCCAATTTAATTTTAACAGTGTTCTACTATTTGCGCAGCTGTGACGGGTTTAGCTCAAAGATTTCGAGATTTCACACAAATATTTTACAATTTCAAAAAAGATGTATTTACATACATGCAAACAGGTAATATGTTTTTTTATTTATTTTTAAATACCGTCAGAATCATTTTTTGTCTTAAATCACTTTTCATTCAAAGCTGCCGTTCACACGATTTTTTGTGCCTTTACTTTACGGTTATGAAGAGCAGTCTTTGATTTTTCGCCTTATTTTCACACAATAAATGCTATGAAAATTTTATTTTTATTAATTCATTTCTGATTTGAAGATCTTCTTTCTCTCAAATCACATTAGTTTTCTTCGGTTTACTTCGAACGTCTGATTGGTATATCAATTGTTTTAATTTTTATGAAATTACTTTAGAGAAATTCACTTGAAAACACACACGACCGTGCTGCACGGTGCCTGGCACCTGACTGAATCTTCATTCGTTATTTGCCCACGACCAGACCCAGACCAGAGCCCAATCGCGTTTAGTCACTTGCGGTGAATTGAGACCGCTTTTTAGTTAACTCGGCTGAGAGTTATCCCCATGCGTGTGTGTCCGCGTTGGTGTTGGTTAGAGTTGGCTGTTTGCTGCTTGTTGCTGTTGTTCTTGTTAGCTGATTGTTGGCTCAAACGAACGGTGATTGTTGTACAACAGTTGTTGGCTCTTAACAGTGCCTCGGTATTGGTGTCGTGCGGCTGGTGGTGGTTTTCTGGCCTCTTCGCTAGGGATGGCCGTGATGTTGTCTTCCACATGTTCATATATACGTGTATGTTTGCTTGTTTGCTGGTCTCTGTTCTTGCGGCGAGTTAAATGCGACAAGCTCATGGTGGTGACTTGACTGCGAGTTGAAGTGGTTGATTTTCGTAGAGCTTTGATAGCAACAAAAAAAAAATTGTATTTGAAGCAAATTGCAGCACACGACAAAGCAACAACAACTAAAACAAGCTACATAGTGTTACACGCAGGGCGCATATACATACATACCTATGTACATACATACAATGTGAATCCTCATATGTTGAATCAGTGGCCGATCGGCCTTTAAGGGCTGCTGTTTGCTCGTAATTTGTTTTTAGCCTTTTCAATATGTAGTTGTTGTTTTTATTGCATTGCGGCATCGACCGTCTGTTATCTGTTAGCGACTGCGCAGTTAACGTTTTCACCTTTTCATCTCATTTGCGCAGCAATTTGGCTGTTTAGTACTCACAGTTGTTGTTGTTTATATTTATTTATTTTTATTACATTTGTTGCTTTTGTTGTCTTACGCTGTGGCAAAGGGTCACACAATATACACAGTTATCTGACATCTTAGTAGTTGCTGTTGCATTCACATATAAATATGTATTATTTTATATGTATATGTATATGTATATACATGTATGTATATACCCACCAATAAGTACTTATGTACATATGCGTATAGGTATGTATATAAATATAATACTTACAACGTTGTTGTTGTTTTTGATATTTTAAGTTAAGAATATGTAATCCTAGTTTTTTGTTGTTGTTTGCTTTGCTGATTTCTAGTCAGCAGAAGTTTACACTAAACTCAATATTAATTGGTATATATTTATGTATGTGCGTATGTATGTGTGCATGTGAGTAGATATGCAGGTATCGCCGCTGAACTTACTATAACTACCGTTGTTGTAGTCATTGTTGTTGGCTTTTTAAATTTTTTCTCTGCCCTTCTGCTCGCGCGCATTTCGTCAATCGTTCGTTTGCCGCTTTTAAATTTGTCAGCCAAAAATAATCAGCTGATTTCCTCGAAATTTATTGAGAGTACGGTAATCGAAGTACACCTATACATACATACATATATGTAAATAAATACTTGTCTCTGTATGTGTTTGTGAAAGAATTTATTAGCACATTTGCTCGGCTCTCTCACCATTTATTATTGTGGGCAATTCGGTTGAATTTATAAGGTTTTACGAAATTTGTTTGGGAAGGACTGTGATTGGGTACCAAACAGGGATTTGTTTTGCCATTTCGCTAAGCTTTCCAAGGCCCGGCGCTCTCTGTTCTGGTTCCACCTGACCAGCAGCATACCGCTTTTGGTTGGCCCTTTTCTTATATGTATAAATATACACAATTAAACTGCGGTAACCCCCACCAAGAAGGTCTGAGGTCTGACCCCCGTCGGTGCGTAATTTACGACAAAAGACGCCCATGATAGTATTTCAAATTCAATCTTCAACACAGACGTTCTCCAATAGTGCTATCCCCTTCGGACATTCCAGTGGTGAAGAAGAAGTCAATCAGGGCTAATTCATGGGTAATAATCAATAATTCGTTGGCAATGCATTACAACCGCGCTGCCTCCGAACGGCTGATGGTTTTTTTACGAGGACCCTTTTTTTCAATACACTGGGACATTCTCTGCCGAGGGGCAACCGCAATTAGAAAATTTAACTAAATTTTTTATTCAAATTAGTTTTCCATAACTTTTGGTTTTTGGTGGCACCGGGATATGAATTCGAGTCTTCCGAATGTCAGTACGTAATGCTAACCACTCCACTAAAGCGGCCGCTGACATTAGAAAGGAATAATAATTTATTTCACCCACAACCTCTCCGTTTCATGACCACCTGGACCACACTTTTACATACATATTTTTATATTTTAATTGATATCAATCGGTTCCGCTATGACAATTGTTGCGATTAACTGTTGGCGGAACCCTAATCAAGCGTACAGTGAAGAGCTTTTCCTCTCACTTTCCTAGGCGCTCATATCATTTAGTGCGCTTTATTGCTCCACTAGAAATCGAATTTTCCGAAGAAATTTCGCTGCGCCGCACCGAGGACTGTGAATTGGTGGAGGTAATACTCTACCAATTCCTCCTCATCTATGACTCTGCAGTTGCGATAGAAGTCGTTGGAGAAAAGTAATTAACTAAAAAGGGCTCAGAAGAAATAATTTCCATTGGAAAATATTTAAAGACACAGTAAATTGAGGAAAATAATCGAATTCAAGTCATGCATTTCCACAAAAATTTGTATAACTTTTCCATCTGAAGTATCCTGCAGACTACGACAGATGCACATGATGACAATGCGCGTTTTTGCATAAACCAAGCTCCGACCGAGGAAGTTCATCCAATCGGCTTTGCACTCACAGGAAGACACCTGCTCCACCTGTATGTGAGGCGAATAGAAAAATGATCAGCCGCAAGAGCTGACAAAATAGCTCGTGTTTAAGCCAACAATTAAGGGGAAATTCTAATGATTGCATGCGCGCAATGCGCATATATACACACACATGTGTACATACATATGTACATACTAGTAAAACTAGTCGAAATTATGCTGGTTGAAGATATTCAAATGAGTTTTAACGTATTTTCGGCTTATTGCTTGTATGTGTGTGAGAAAGTCAATGGCTCGGAAAGGATACATTGCACTTCCGTGACATTTTCGCGCCAGTTTTTCACGAACATCTGCAAGAATGCCCCTATGTGTGGAAGGAAGTTTGTCTTAAGGACGCTCGTGGGGTCTGAGCACAAACGGCTTGAACGTTTTTCTTTGAAAGAAATTTTTGTAAGTAAGAAAAATATGCGCTACAGCGCTCAAACTACTTGGTAAGACTTGTCGGTATTTGTATGTACGTACATACGTGTAGCTACATGCCAATGTATGGGTGTATGTGACATGGAATAATAAAAAATAGGCGGGTGCCAGACACACTTCCTTGGCGCACTTTCCCTGCCACTTGGCATTTTCCCTATCTTGCACACACACACACACACACACACACACGCATCAACATACAAGCGGGCACATTGAAGCAGAATAGCCTCGCCCTCGATAGGGAAGATGTTGCGCTAGGGCGATTTTCGTTTTATCACAGGTCCGTTCGCTGAAGTGTGCCTGTAATTACTATTTTTTATTGCCTTATCGCCTACAACAACATCTTGGTTGGTTAGCTGGTTGGTTGGTTGGTTGGAAAAAGCGCGCGCGCCGCAGTTACACATGAGGGATCATAGAGCTGATATGCGCTCGCATTTAAGTGCCTATTTACGTGTACATATGAATGTATGTGTGTTCATATGCTACAGAGCGCCTTTGCACTGTCAAGTCAATGAGGGTGTTTGCGGTAAAAATGCCAAATAATAGAAATGTGACTGATGAATGTCAGTCAGTTAGTCAGTGCAGCCATTTTAGGGGTTAGGGACGTCGCACTCCCTCCCTCCAAAACAACGCGTGCTACGGCAGGCCGCTTGAGTTGCTGACGATAAGCTGCTACCAGCGTAATTTTTTGTAACGGATTCACCGTATGCCGTCAGCAGAAATGCAAGCAAAAAAAATTGCCTTGTTTTTGGTGTGACTGTGACAGGCTTGCTTTTATTATCTAAAAATATACAAACAGCAGTTAGACGAGCAGCGCGGAGAAATGGTTGTAGGTAAGTGACAATTGAAACTCGCTGTGCCGCTAATCAATTTGCATTTTTATTTAATTGTTTAATTTTCATTTTTATTTTAAATTCATTTCAGCACTTTGGGATTGTTCGAGCTTCGTTCAGTTCCTCGTCGCTTTAGTTGTCATTTACCCGATGCGAGAAATCACCATTTTTTCGTGCGCCCACTACACACCGCCATTGCCAGAAACCATAAATTCACAGTGATAGGCAGTAACAAGAAAGTGAAGCTACAGATATCAGCGCTGCTCAAGCACGCAAACAAATGAGCGAGCAAAAACAAAAAACAAAAAAAAGAGAAATGGAAATTCCATCACACTTTGGTTTTAACTGCTTTTGTGTCTGCGCGTGTCTGCTCATTGTGCGCGCCTCATTATTTGTTGTTTGTGTTTTAATTCC